CACACACACACACACACTGGTTGTGCAGGTAAATCTCTATATTGAGGGTGTAACCTGGCGACGACAGCCTGGGAATGTACAGAGGTGGAGTGGAACAAGACGAGATTTACAACCACACACCCACACACACACAGTGGTGACTAGTAAATGGCGATGCTGAATTTTAAATTGAAAAAATGTTTCCCCTGGTGTTTTCCAACCTTTCTTGACCTCCACACCCTTTCTCTTCCTTAATTTCACCTTTCTATCCCATCTTCTCTCTTCCAGCTCTCCTCTATCTCTGTTATCTTCTTATCATCTGTTTATATCTCATTTATCTCATCTCTGTTTTCTCTCTGTTGTCTTTCCCCTCCTAGCGTCCTAGTGTCTCTGACTTTTTATTTTGCTGCTTATATTTCCTCCCCCTCATTTGTCATTCTCTTTTTCCCCACCCATCATTAACACCAGAGGAAAAGTGTTTCTTGATTTAATGTTAAATTCCTCACATCATCCTGATTCAACAACCTGAGTAGGAACATTTTAGGGTCTTCAGTACCCATAATCCTTCCAAAGTTACACGAGTGAAATAACTTCAGTTTCAGTGTCACTCACACTGTGGGTTTGGTGATTTCTATTTGCTTGTTTGTATTTCCCATCAGTGCATGGGTAGATATGAATCTACAACATTCTGTATTATCAGTGAAGGCAGTGTCTTCTTAATCCTGAAATAGACCTATTTGTTTTATTGGGTTAGATCTATGGTGGGAGAAGGAAATTAAATCAATCAGTCAATAAAAATAATGCAGTTTTCTTCCTTCCTGTGTACTTCTCGGTATGACTGAAGTACCCAGTCAGCTCTGTGCTGACACACCAATTATCAGTTATGCAGGAGGGGCTTTTAAAGGACTGTATCTGTTTCTGCCTATTTATCCATTCACTACATACCACAGACAGTATACTTTACCTTAGTGTTGACCATTTTCCAAAGTGTTTTAGTTTTTTTTAATGTTTTTTCCTTCCTTTCAGGCAGCCAGTGCTTTCATTCATTTCAGTATGTTATGAAATTCAACTTGGAGAGACTTGAAACCTGTTTGAGTCAGGCAATCCATCACAGTGTACATCATGTCTGCCCTCATTATTGTCAAAGTCTTTTTGAAAACGCAGTGGAGCAGCTTGAAATATGGCCACCAGAAATGTAAAGTATGTGTGTTACTGTAGTAAACGGGCTAAGAAATGACCCACTTGTTTCTTAAAAAAAACACACGGTTATTGTATTTATTTTAGTGTTACTTTTTAACACAGAGAATATGTTAGCATTGAGAAAGAAGTTTACACTTCAGATTTTTACATTAAGTAAACTTACTACATATTTGACAACATGTGTATGTAACCCTCTCTGTTGTGTTTGTTGAGTGTGATTTGTTGCAACGGGTCAGTTGAAATGAAGCGAGAGAGGAGAAAGGAAAGTGGACCACAGTCCTTCTTCCTCTCCACAGACTTTCTCCCCCGTTTGCCTTTCCTCTGTTCTCTGCTGTTTTCATTGGCTTCCCGTCTTCCCTGCTTCACTCTCTGCCTCAGTTCATGTATTCCAAACAAATTGAATTATTCACATAATCACATAATAATTGCATGTATGGAATGAAAAGGTGCACAGTAGTTGCAGGTAATTATTACTATCTGTAATAACCTGGAACATTCCATAATTAAACCGTCCCTCCCTCCCACCACGGCTGTCGTTCCTCATATTATTTCTCTTTCAGTCTCTCTCACGCTGGTTTATTTCCACTCGACTCAGGTTTTCTCCCTCTCCTGTCGTTAGCTCTCCTCCTCTCTGCTGCTTCCCTCGCTCCATCTCTTCCTAACAACTGTTTTCCTCCATCACTCCTTTCCCTCGCTCTGTTATTCTAGCTAAGTGTAGGTTTTTGCCAAGCTCAGCACTGCTTAAGCTCAGAACAAAGTTATAGTTGGCCTTAACTCTCCTCCTCTTTATTTTATTTTTTTCCTCAAAATTTCCCCCCACTTTTCACAAAACTTCCTTTTCGGCTCTTCAACAAACACCTCTCCAAACCTGGTGTTGATGTTGAGTCTCTCGGTCTCGTAGCGCTCTGATACTCATGTAATCTGAATATCTGCAGTGTTGACCGTGCTAGCAAATGTTAACTGGACTGCTGATTGGAGAAACAGCCTAAAAAGCGATCTCGTTTGATTCGCTGTGGGGGAGTTTGAAGGGAACCACTTAAATGGGAAGTGGGCTGTGGAGGTTGGAGACTAGTGAATAATGCAGAGTTAATCAATTCTTATTACTGTTTGTAGTAGTATTTGCAGCATTTGAAGTATCTGCAGAAAAGGTTTTATGTATGCGTGTATGTATAAATAAGAAGTTTTTAGTTTTTAACATAACTCTTAACCTGCAAGCACACATTTAACCTTTGCAAAGGGACCCCCTGCACGGGCGTCTGCAGCTCAGTGACTTTGGTCCAGAATGGAAAATACAAAGCACTAAACTGTGGAGAAAAATATTGGAAACATAAAGAGGAAACATTATTATGAAATGATTTTTCAATTTTGATATATTTTCTTTTTCTCAGGAGTTCCCAGGGTTCTTCAGTCCAAGTTCAGTCTTCCTCTGGCATTGGTCTGTGTTCAGTCTTCTCCAGCCAAAACCACCAAGTTTAAGATCACTGTGGACACCAACCAGCCACCAGTCGACCTCAACTCCATCTTCCCAGGTAGAACACACATGCACACACACAATTTACTGTTGTTCTCAGTTTCCCAAACAATCCCCTCTCTGCATTTGAGTCACACATTTTGTGTAAATCCAAACACATTGTTTTGTTAAAGACTTTGTCAGTGGAGACAGCTGTGTGACGTAAGCAGTGTTGGTGTAAGCTGAAACATGAATGCACACCTCTGATGTGTTCTAGTGCTGCCGGTACAGCCAGCATGTTGATTAAGGTGGACCTGCAGGTCTCATGTGATTAGAGGGATTATTGGATTACCCCAAAATCTACAATCTACTACAGTTTATTGCAATTTGCGTGTACATTACAGAGTAAAAGATGAACAAAAAACACAGTGAGAGTATATGAGAGGATATTTCTTCTCCGCTTATTTTAGATAGTGGATCAGTGTCATACAATGTTTTTTTCATCAAACCTTTAAAATGAACATGCGGCAAATTAAACACAAACCTCTCTCAGCCCGAGCGTTTCACCTGACCTGCAGTTTGGATTGATTTTCACCCAGGAGCCGCAGGTTCAATTGCTGGTGTGGGAAAAGAATTGGACCAAAAAGTGTATTCTAAACATTATAAATGAATCACACTAATCAGTGCTTGGATTGTGGGTGGCTGGGGTTTAGCCGGTAGGGTGGGTTATCTACTAATTGCAGGGCTGGCAGTTCGATCCCCAGCTCCTCTTATCCGAGTGTCAAAGTGTCCTTGAGCCAGAGACACTGAACCCCACCAATTGGTTGGGTGTGTGTGTGAATGTATGAATGAAATGCAAGCACTACATACAGTCCATTTACAAAACCAGTCTGACGTAACATCAGTGATGGATTATAATACCTGTCTGTTCAGTTCATCTGGGACTGATGGGACATGGTACAACTAATGTCACTTAAGAGCTGAGGACCAATGAAGTGCCAACCTGGGGGCGTTCCTCAGCACCAAATGACTTGAGCACAAACAGAAAGCTGAGAGGAGTAATGACAGTGTGTGTAGCGGCATGAGTATCCATTATTACGAGTAATCAACTGCTATGTATCTGTGTGTGTGTGTGTGTGTGGTTGTGTATTTATTTATACAAGTGTGTTTATGCATGTTTATTTATTTGTGATTCTGTGTATGTGTGTGTTTCAGCCTGTCTCTGTTCTGTTTCTCAGTTATCTGACAATCGGCTACAGTCAGCAGCTCTGACGTCTAAACACACAGTCCGTTCTCATCCTGAGAGTGTGCCTTTTGTGTAAAGAGGGATCTGTGTAAACTCATGCCCGCGTACATTGTGTGCCTTTGTGAAGAGTGCGACTGTATCTCATTCACCTTTGTTGGCGTCTTGCATCATGATATGCTGTCCTATCTGTCTTATCACACCGCTGTCTGTCTTTCTGTCTCTGCCTCTCTCTGCAGAATTTTCGGCAAAATCGGAAGATAAGGATGGGAATAGTTTGGCTTTCCAGTTCCTGTCAGGAGCCAAGGTTACTGTGCTGGCCTCCAAGACCTCCCGTGAGTCTGACAACAGCACTACATGATGAAAACAGGATTTTCATAAGACGCTGGTTTATCTCCATTAAACTGGTTTACATATAAATGTGGGAATTATCTGTCTCTAATACAGTACCGGTTCAGGGCTTTAAATATTTTACCAACTGCCTTTCCCAAATGATATCTATATTGGCTGATGTCTTTTGGTGCCTCTGAATAACTTTCTAAACATTGTGTTGCTTCTTTTGACAAATTTTTCATCAGCTTTTGGTTCCTCTCTGTAACTCTTAAAGTACCTTTTTGATAACTTTTGATACATCTTCCACTGTCCAATGTCTTCATAAGTAGAAAGGCACTCAGAGAGCACAGCCCTCTGCCAAGGCTTATAGTCTCCTCTACCTCTATACGCAAATCTGTACACCATTCACTCATTTTAATTATGACAAGTTTGGGCAGGTCGGAAAATCCGGAATCCAGGATTAATCTGGAAAAATCCAATTTCTTACATACCTGCTGCTCTTGTTTCTACAGTGATGTTTGAGGTGGCTGGCATGAGTGTCAAATTCAGTTAATTTGTGAAAAATAATTTGGCCCATGCTACACCCTTCTGCGACATCCCTATTATTATCCCAGTATTCCCGTAACAGGCCCCTGTGTAAGTGCGTCTATCTGTCTGTCTGTCTGTCAGAGCGTTACCCGTATTCAGAGTGACAGTTTTGAGGACATGTGGTTGGTGGTAAAAGGAGTTGGTCCAGAGATTCGACCGGAATTTCCTCCAAACTGGGAGCTGAAAGACTTCAAGAAAAGCTTCAGTGGACCCGCTCCGCGCTGCAGGAGTACTTCCTGTCTGTAGACCAACACCTTCCAGGTACACCACACAACACACCACACACACCACACACACCACACACACAGATGATAAATTAGCGGTTAACATTAAATACAGTCAGCCCCTCCTACATGAGGACAATCGATATCTCCCTTCAGTTTTGTTTACAGTTGATGCCTCAATGACCTAAAAAAAACATTTCTGAGTGGAATAAAAATGTCTCCCTGTTGGTGCGGATGTGGTGTTTGTGTGTGTGTGTGTTAGCTCCGTGTCAGTGCTCAAGCAGTACCAGGATCTGCTGTCAAGGCGGGCCGTCCGCCAGTTCAGAGGCCATCCCAGCGCCGCCTGCCTGACTCGATTCAAAACAAAAACCCCGGCTCCCCTGCAGAACCTGGACACGCTGCTGGACGCCACTTACAGCCAGGGTCAGGACAAACATCACAAGGACACATTCACCACTCAGCTCGGCTCGCATCTGCCCGGGGGACGGGGGTGCACACATGGTGTAACGAAGGAAAGACCCGGGGGGGTTTGAAGGAAAACAGCTTGTCCATTTGGTCACCCCATAGTTTTCTGGAAGTTGAACGTGTTTGGGAACAGAGGCCAGTTGAGGTGATTCGCATGCTGATTTAGACGGCTCTGAGGAAGGAAGGTGAGACATCCCATTCTGGCCTGAACCCCAGGGACGCTGGAGGACATTGCTGAAAGATGAAACTCCGGGTTAGGCAACCTTACTAAGTCCTGCTTAAATACCAGATCGGAAATGTTCATTCATATTTAAGCTTCCAACTGTTGGAAAGTACAGGTTAACCCTAGAGAGTAAGTCTTATCACAAACATCATATACTCAGTACACACAACCACACACACCACTACACACAAACATATCACACAACTTGATGACGGCTGTTAGAGTTGGATCTGCTGATTCCTAGGATTTCCTCCTCTTTAGGTGATTAACTGTGAGCTTACACCCAGTGTGACAAAACACCACACACACACACACTACAAATCACATTAGTTTAAACAGACACAAACTATTAGAGATACACTTGTATCTGCACGCCCACATGCAAGGGTCACTCTCTCTCCCTCTTGTGCTCTGTTACGTGTGTGTGTGTGTGTGTGTGTGTGTGTGTGTGTGTCTGTATTCAAGGTCAGTATAAAGCTGATTTTAAAACAAAGCAGCCGTTAAGCTTTTGTCTCACCCTTTGTTTAAGTTTGACGTATAGTAGGGTGGGACTGCGTTTAATGTCTCGCTGATGTGTGTGTGTGAGTGTGTGTCAGAAACAAAGTGATGGTTCCTTGCCCCTGCTGTTTACTCTAGAGGCTGACGTGGCGGTCATCAGCTCCATCGTCCATTAGCTTCTCGTTAGCGTAGCGAGGCCGCGTGACATCATCTCTTCATTAGCTGTTAAAGCTGTCAGTACGTCACTGTTTGTCTCTGTGTGATCAGAGCCACTCTGTCTGTCCGGCACCGTGCTCTAACAATACTTTAATTTGATGCACATTAACTTTCAGAGTTCAGAAACATTGTTGGAGTTTAATGAGAGGAAATTAATGAGCCTGTTGAGGTTCTTAATACTATTCTAACCCAAATAAACAGTGTTCACTCGGTTGTCGCCAGGATAAGCTATCAGGGAGCCAGTTCTAAACTTGTCTGCCTTAAATGTTAATTTCCTCACTCTGTTTAATGTCTTAACAGTTTAATCAGCGGCACTTATTGCAAACATACTTCATCAGCTATGTTTCTTTAGGCACCCGAGACAGAGATAAAAAAAACAAAACGGTAATCAACAGGTAATTTGAATACATAGTGATAACACTGTGTGGGTTATAACATGTATTCAGAGCCTGCAGATAAGTCGCCATATTGAAGAGCAGAGAGAAACCACCGAGCCCATAAACAAATTCTAATCTATAGAGCTTTTTGGTGAATCTATTATTAAATGGGGCCAATTTCCACCCACTGACCACCTGTCTCACCTGACCTCTAAACAGGCACAGAGACACAATGGTAAGCTACATGCATATGACTCCTGTACTGTCCCTGCTCAGCTGTTTGCATGCCTTAAAATAGCACGTATCCCTATGTGACCACAGCTCGACTTTGGTACCAGTTGGGTCTAATCTCAGGAACAATCCGCCGACACTATAAAGCAACAAAAAAAACTGAAAGACTAAAACATAAATAAAACAAGCGGCTACCAATGTGTCCAAACCTTTAGTCCATTTTGGTGAATTCAGCTTAATCCTACTTCATCCTACACGTTCAAAACACAAATTTATTTAAACCTGCCAGCCAGCCAAAACTGATCACCACCTGTATCCAAAAGTTTTAATAGTTTTAAAGTAATCACTTGTCATTGATTGGTTCAGTCTCAAGAGGAGTCCTACCTAATATGAGCTTGCAAAAGGGAAGATGCCTAAAAAGCGACAGTAGAGATACAGTAGGGACGCCTGAGAGCGGCAGATGAATGAAAGATGCACAATGAATGAGAACCTCGGTTCTGTCTACGTCTTTTGTACATCACTATAAAACTTTGTCTAGCCTCTCCCAACTTGCGTTTCTTCCCCCGATGTGCAGTTTGAATTACCTGTCAAAGTGCCACTGCCTCACGCTACTCCAGCTCTCTCGCTCTGTCTGATATCTAGCTCTGATATCATGACTCTGCCCCCTCAAGCTAATGCTTTCTGCTGTCACTCCTGTCCATCACCCGGTCTTTCTCTCTGCCTCCCTCTCTCTCCGTCTTCCCCTCTTCCCGCCATCCAGTGGCTCGCATGCGGGAAGTTTCTGACACACTATACACTCTGTAATGTATACACACCCGCCATAATGGAGGCTATCGACGGCTGGTCGGAAGAGTGATGAATGCGTCAAATTAATAATTCATGTCAGTATTAGGAGTCATGCTGCTGAGGCCAGGGCCAGCTCAGCAGTTTGCCTTCAGTAACAGGACGGATTTCACGAGGATACATCACATCTTCATTTTTAAAAGGAAGTTGACCGGGGAGTTGGATGAGCCTAAAATCAAATATGCTTTTAATTTGATTATTTACTTGGTTTTTATTCTTGTTTAATTTATCTGTGTTGATTTTCTTTCCTTTCTTTTCTCAGTTTATTCACTCCTTTGGTCAGGATTTCTACTTTTTCATATTTATTTATCTTGTCTTTTCTTTTCCTTCTTTTTACTTATCATCATTCTTTTTTTTTAAAAGGTATATGTAACATTTTCGCATTAAAATGTCTAAAAATGCTGACATTATCCCAAATGTTTCCAACAATGTTCAAATCCAAAGAAATCCGTAATTGTATTCTGGTAACTGCACATTTTCTTGTCTCTAGTTAGCATGTTTAACACCTTGCTCAGAAGCACTCGATTTAGAAAGGTAGGACATTGTTCCTTCACTATTCCAACTGTAATTGTTTTTTCCAATTCATATAAGGCACTGACATTGATTCCTGGTCTAGAACCTTCACCAGGTGAAACCTTAGAGGACTATTTATAAAGCAGAAATTTTGCAGGGTGTTTACCTCATGAAGCCGCGGCTCCATGCCAGCAATCACACTGTTGTTAGAATGGCAAAGGAATGTGTGGCCAATCAGGAATGCTGGTGAACCAGGCACCTCTTTCATTTCGACTCGGAGGAATGTCTGCTGGGTAAATTTTCTGCATCAATCTTAGGTGATGGGGGGGGATTTCCCCCTCGTTAGCGGTGTGTGTGTCTCCACATGCAGCGGCCGGCCATCGCCGACGAGCCGTCAGAGATAAGAGGAACGAGCGCCCTGTGAGAATACTCTGTGGTCGGCTGTGCATTTATGCAGCGGAGGATAATATTTCCATTGTTCATGCTGCCTTTATGGGCCTATATTTTATTCATGAATTCCTGAGCGCTAGTGAGCCACGTCTGACTTCATGTGTGTATACGTGTAAGCGCAGGAAACTTTTTCATCTGCCGACCACAGCGGCTGGATTCCAAAATACACCCGATGTTTGAACTGTTTGACCAGGCGAATATGATTGATGAGTTTCAGAATAGAGTAAGACCCATGAATGATTGTTTGTTATGTGTCGAAGAGGCCGGTAGAGAAGACAAACCACCTATGGACAAAATTCAACAAGTTTGTTTGGGCATTGGTGGTAATTTCCAGCTCTTTCTTGTCTTCTGTTCGCTCGGAGGTGTGTTTCTTCTCCACCTCCCTCCCCCGTCACTCCTTAAAAAGCCATCAGTCATCGCAGCCCCTGTGTTTTACACTCTTCCCTCTAACTGGTGTTTGATTAATCTGTGGCAACCAGAGGTTAGCCTGGCGCTGGTGCTCCTCTGCTAACCAACTCGCTAACCTCTCAGATTCAAGGGAAAACTCAGACTGTCACTCAAAGAAATAAAAACTAAAAAGGAGTTTGTGGAAATGGATGAAGAGAGGCCAGAGGGGGCAGAACAAATCGAGGGAGGATTTTTCAGTTTCCATAAATATTTTCCTCGCTGCCGTTTCCTCTGGAGGTGAAACGTCCGTCGTTTGTTAGTATTAGCATTAGCGCTGGGCTAGCAAGCACTGACGTCGGGGGAGGTGGCGGGGGGGAGAGCTCGGGAGCCGGGCCGGGCCGAGCTGAGCCTCCCTGTAATTATGAGTTCAAACGCTGGAAGAGGGCGGCTCGCTGACTGACGGGGTGACTGACAGGCCGTCCAGGGGCCTCGCAGGGCCCCTAATGGAGGCTTCTGGTGGACAGCAGCTTGATTTATCTGGCCCCAAATGGAGCTCTAAACATGGCTAAACACAGATCCCACTGTGGAGCGCAGGACCACCGCCATTAACAGCCGGGCCTCTCACTCCCTGTATCTATGTGTGCCTATCTAGGAGTGCATGAGCAAGTGTGCATTTCAAGTGTATATACATAAATGTAAATGTACCCATTTTGTGTGTTCTGATTCCTGAATGTGTGTGTATTAACGTGTGTAGTAATTCACTAGATGTTACTGAGTTGTGATGAAACAGGCATGTTGTGGACATCAGTGTCTGTGTTCATATACAGT